ACATATAATACTCTGAAACTGATTATGACCCATATTCTCAACTCTCTTTTATCGCTAAAAGAGAATTGAAAATATGGGCCTATGACTTTTTCATGAAAGCCTAATGTAACTATTAATATATATATTGCCTGAGGCATTCGGTAACATCGAAATATTTGCACTATTCTCTACTTTCATATCACACACACATTTACATGTATGTCAGACACTGAAGAAACGCTGCTTTATATACATAACAGTTTCTTGATTTAATTTAGTTTAAACTGTATATAGCGTGTCATCACATATAACACGCTGTTTTGTACAGTACAGTATATTTGTAACATTGTAACGCGAAAAATGATAATTTATTACAATAATAATCGATTATCGCGTTAAATTATTCGTCCACATAAAAATCTTTTAATAGATTTTTCATTTTGAAATGTCTTTTAAGACATTATAAGATAAATATATTACGGTTTACACTGCAAATATAGATACCAAATTTGTTCAAAATTGTATTTTCTTAGTATAATTAACTAAATACGAATTAAGAATTAATTTAGCGCTCTATTTCCAAATTTTATTTGTTCAGAATTTAGAAATTCTCATAATAGTTTAATTTTCCTTTAATATAAATCGTGTTAAACAAACTGTAACGATAGATATCGAAAAAAATTTCACTACATTAGATCTAAAAAGCTAGAGAGAGATCGAAAGAATTCAGTCATTTAGAATATCATCACTTGAACATCACAATCGGATTTAACAGAAAGTTTAATACAGTCTTTACGCTGAGACAAAGATCTCTGATAACAGAGCTTAAACTTATACGATATCTGTAACGTTTGTAAGACGTTTTCAAATCAAGAGAGTTGCACGCGAGACAGCCTACCTCTTCCAAATCGATGTGCGGTTCGGCGCCACCGAGAAGAGATTCTGTTTCTAAGCCATTATTCAAAAGCGCACCGGAAAACCAAATCTTGTCGCCCGGATATATATTCAGACTAAAATTGGTGAAAGAATGGTCCGCAATAAGACATATCTCCGTCGTACTTCCCCATATGCCGCTTTTCATCTTGACAAATATTTCAAACTCGTATTGATCCCACGCCGGAAAGTAACATTTATTCCTATTTTTTTGGATGCTCGTCATGTGCTTGCAGCTCTTTCTGCGAGTATCATCGCCCGAATTACAATTTTCTTCATACGGTTCCCCATACGTGCAACTAAGTATTGTTCTAATGTTGTCGGGAAACCTGTTTAATACAACTGCAATATTATTCTTTATTGATTTTACTCTAATATTTGTCACATAGCCTTCCCACGAGACGGGTATGCCTTCCAATTGAGCGCATTGCACCTGCACTTGCGCTTTCGATGACAATTCTTCCCACGCAGGTTGGTGACAGTAGTTCTGATACTGATCCCATGTTAAGGTAGAAGCAATATCGTACGATGCCTCGTCGGAATTCTGGTTGTATTCCATTATCATCGGCCACGATAAGAATGTCGCAGCGCCAATTCCGAAAACAATCTGGAGAAAATATTTATATTTTATATACAAGTTAAAAATATATGCCCGAGTTTAAGATGGAGAAATATGACGTTATACGTACTTGCATAAGCGTAATGATCCAATTAAATCTTGATGATCTGGTCCTTCTCAGATACCACGAAGTAAAAAACGGCATTCCTCCGAGTACAGTAGTAACTGATATCCTCATGGCTATATCATTTTCTGACAAATATTTGGCAATGGCTACGATCGGTAAAATGATGGAAGCAATACCGGCGATTGGAAGAAATAGGACCATGCCAACTAGTGCGAGAGTGCCTCTGATCAAGCCGTACCATGTGGCACCTTGAGAACTGAAGATTGCTATTTGCCACCAACTCAGGGTAACGCAATGGGGTATCAGGATCCGATACGTGCCGCGCCAGCCGTCTCTCGCGGCCATTTTCGCGAAGACCGCCGGTATCAGGAGATAAAATACAGCGCGGAAGTTTAGACAAAACTCTATGCCGTTGCCAACAACATAAGACGCGAACGTTGGCACTCGGATGTCCAAGAATCTCCAGCTTTGAGCCACGACCATGTCCGTCTCGTAAGGATACTTGGCGAGTACATGCACGCCAAAGCTGAAGAGGGCCAGAAAATCGGGAAATCGCGAAGAGTCTCTCCACATAAAACTGCAGAGCGTGATGAGAGTGAGCGTGACTGCTATTATAGTGAATTCAGATTGCGGAGTCCATTGATGGGCTATCAGAGGATAGATCATCAAGTTCAGCAGCAACGCAAGAAAGAAATGCCCGTACGGTTTCAGGTTGTTGCGGCAGAATTGATACTCCGCTTCCTCGGGATTCAGATTTCCGCCCGAGTAGCTGAGAAATAGGCCCGACCACACGCGGAAGTTGTTGAACTCGCGTTTTCGTTGGAGCATTTGGAAGGTAGCCACCACCATGACTACAAACGAGAGGTAGTAAAGGGCCATCGGTATAAAAAGTATTAGGCTCTCCGTACCCAACAAGGAATACAGCAAGAGTAACAGGAAAATGTGTAGTTTTGACGTAAAAAGAACCCTTTTGATCGATGCGCCTCTATGGCCCAGGGTCTCGACCAACCAACTGTAGAAACGTTTCAGCGACGCGACCGGATGAATAAATGGTCTCTGCAGCAACGGTATCGTGTCCAGCGCCAGTTCGGAAGGATCTACCATGCAGAGAGCGTGCGATACTATCGGAAGCATACCGCGCGCGTAACTTGCAGCCGCGGATACCAGAGCAGCCTCCGTGATTTTCTTACCCTGGTCCGTCCAGCCTGCGATTACATAACAAAACGCACGTAAATACAGACAAAGAAAGCAATAAAAAGAAGGTGGTATGAAAAAATCCGGTGATCTCGTTTACCGTGCACGTCGCTCGTTCGGTCTTCATCCTTT